CTATTAAAGATGTAGATCCTTAACATCGGCATGGGGGAAAGATCCAGCAGCAATGGGGAACTCCAATGCAACATACTATGGTGAAACAAATACATCTGGCTGTTTCTTATTATGTCTTCACTTCCTTCCCAAGGGAGGTACAAGAAGTAATGAGGAAACCTAATGCTGTCTCAGAAAAAAGAATTTGTTTTAACAAACCTGCACGTTATGCACATGTACCCTACAACTTAAAGTATAATAATAATAAATAAATTAAAAAAAAAAAAAACTAAGTGAGAAAAAGCGATCATGGTATCCTGGCAGCATGGTAACATGGCAGAAGTGGGAACAATGGACATAAAGAGTTGATTGCACAAACTCTGAAGAAAAATGAAGCATGAACCCTGTACCTTAAGTTTCTGAAATGAAAGACATAGAGTGTAGAATTCTTATAATGCAATACTAAATTATCTGCAAGAGGAAGAAATGGGGAAGGGGGATCTGAGGAAACAGAATATTTAAAAAATACATTCAGAAAGAAAAAAACAGAAACAAAGACAAATTTTGGAAAACGCTAGTAACATTAATAACTGAGTCACAAAAGCCATGGATAATGAGGGCAATGGCAAGATTTCCTCCAAAAGTGAAATTAAGATAAAATTAGGAGAAAAGCAGAATGATGAATGAGATAAGCCATTTGCAGGGGAAACCCACTCTTATTGATAATCTGTAAATGGAATTGCTGACTTGAGTGCCCTTCAGGAAGGTATATCTGGAATGTGATTATAAATAACAAAAGTTTAAATGTAATAAACTGTATGCACTATGGAGAAAAGAATGTATTTACAGAAGATGATGATTGGTCAGCACAGAGTCTAAAATTTATGGACTTAGATATGAAGTGGTTTTCTTTTCCTTTTTCTTCCTTTGCTGGCCTTGGTCTCTTGTCCCTCCTGACCCGGCGGAGAAGGAGTCTTGCTCTGTCGCCAGGCAGTAGTGCAGTGGTGCAATTGCAATCTCAGCTCACTGCCACCTCCTGGGTTCAAACGATTCTCCTGCCTCAGCCTCCCGAGTAGCTGGGACTAGAGGCACATGCCACCATGTCCAGCTAATTTTTGTATTTTTAATAGAAACGGGATTTCACCATGTTGGCCAGGATGGTCTCAATCTCTTGACCTTGTGATCTGCCTGCCTTGGCCTCCCAAAGTGCTGGGATTACAGGTGTGAGCCCAGCCCGTGGTTTTCAAAATATCACTATCATTCCCCTGCTAGAGCTCAGATCCAAGCAGTGTACCTCTTCCATTCACTTATTGTTCCTTTCCAAGTTCCTTACTGTTTGTATTAATTCATATTGCCAACCTTAATGTTTTTCTGAAATTTTGCATTTTATAACCTGGCATATGTAGAAGTATCACTACACTCAAAAGACTAGGATGTGTGTCCTTATTCTGCTAATTACCAACTTTGTGTCCCAACAGCAGATTATTTAACTTTGAGTAAGGTTATGATTAACAAATAAAATAATATGCATGAAAACATTTTGAAAACTGTAAAACATTATTCAGATGTTTAGCATTGCTACTTCAATCTTTGTAACATTCTGAGTTGGTTGCTTTAAGGAATTTTTTAACCTTTTGCAAACGAAGTAGCTTAGAAGCATATTCCTGTGGTGTAAGCTAGCCTCACAATGTGTAATGAGAGTTTTGCAGACTGAGTCAAGCTAGGTGTGGATGTCTGGTTGCTGCAACAAGGTGCTTTTGTGATCATTTCTAAAAGGAACCTACCTGCAGCACAGGTTAGTCTTCTCCAAAAATACCTCTTTACTGAAAGCTGGCACAAGCTGCTGAAATGGCTCTATTTCATGAAAGGCACACAGAGCATAAGCTTACCTAATTAATAATTTTCAGGATTGTTTTCCTTTTCCTCTTTGCAGCTGCTGAATGGAGTGGCTCTGATTAAGCCATACCACATCGTGAGAAACGTCGCTTCGCAAGGGTGTTACATTCTGAATTTCCCCCTACTTTGATCCCTGCTCATTGGCCCCTTTGATCTCTAAACAGGATGTACAAGGTTCACTAATCAATGCTTTCCCTCATTTTTGGTTCTTTGTGAAGTGTTTATATTTAAATCATTGACTAGAATAGGTGAATATGTATGACCTGTGTCTTTTTCCATTTGATCTTTACATTTTTAAAAGACACAAGGAAGAAAATATTTTCAACCGAGTTTTCATTCAAAGTTGAGTTAAGCAGCAAAGTGTATCTTGGGGATTGCAGATAGTCCTCAATTCTTCTTCTTTAAAAATTTGGATCACTTTCTAGGGAGAATTAAAGGATGGCAGAATGAAAGAATCATGCCCATTGTTGTCCATTCCAAACCATGCAAAGTGGAACATAAGTCCCTTTAATCTCAGATGCCAGTGGAGAAATGTACCTGCAGCAGGCTTAGTGCTAACTTTTCCAAGCACTTCTCCTCCTCTTGAGGACTCACAGGTGTATGGAAAAGTAAGAAGCTTAGCACTGAGGAAAGAACCAATAAAACAAAACCTAAAGGTTAAGTGACAAATGGCGAACACCCACAGCAAGTACTGTTGGAGTTTAGAAAAGGGAGAGAGCCCTTGACAGCTGGATAATCAGAGAGACCTCTTAGAAGAAGTAGGTTTTGTTAGTTCAAATTCATCCCAGAGAGTGGGAACTGTGTGCAAAGTTTTGGAACTGGAAATGCCTAAGGGCAAGTCCTGGGCCTGGTGGGCCAGAGTAACTGAGGAATTGGGAGATCGGGATTCCTAAAACATGAATAGTCAACATAAATTAGGCACAACTATTTCAGGTTCTGAATTTTCATTATGTTATTTTTAACTATTTATGGCAAAATAAGAAAATTATTTTAACCACTGGGAGCTGCAATTTTATTGTGTCTAAGTGTGGGCCTATTACCAGTTACCTCTCAGAATTCCATATATTACATAAAATAACATGTGATGTGCTCTTACTTATTTTATTTCTCCCTCTTTCCCTTCCTTGTTTTCATGAACTTGATGATTTCAACAGTAATGACCCAGATAATTGTCAAAGGAAGGTCTCCAATATATGCTATTATTTGTACCACTCTTACTCCTTATGAACATGTGAAGAATCAACGCTTGTTTGAAGGTGACATGTCTTTTGCTATCCATTAATCCCTCCATCCTTCAATTGTTATCAGAAGAGAGAAAATAAGGGCAGGTATCAACAGTACCAAATTATTCTATGGGATATCCTATTTTCCATTTTACCTTGTATCAATACCTTCCCAGACTAGACATGGCAGGGCTAATTACTGTATTCTCTCTCCTTTGATATAACATAGCCACTTCCAATGTAGCCTAAGTCATTAAGCCTTGACCACAGAGCAAACAATTCTCAGTTCCATAGTTTCATATGAAGAATTTTTATCAAAAACTACTTACATTTCCACTTTCATAAAATCACAAAATTAGTTATTGGAATATGAAAGCTAAATGACACTTGAAATTTATTGTGGTCAATTCCATCAATTTCCACATGAGGAGACTTGAATCTCAGAATGGTTATGTGGTTTGCCCAGAGCTTCACAGCTAATTAAATCCTAGGGTTTTCATCCCGTGCTTTCCCCTGAAGTCAAGTTTTTCTTATGTATTAAGCAAAGGAATTATATCTCTGAGAGTTTATCTCTAAATTCTATGATGTCTTTCTTTATAAATCTTGGAAAAAATCAAAGCCTGAAAGGCAGACTACAACACTCTAATTTTGGTTCACAAAGGACCACACTAAACTGGCCTGCTGTGGTTCAAATGTAAAGTGCTAAATGGTAGAGCAAGTTAATGCCCTGGTTGTTTGCTGTTGTAGGTAAAAATATATCTGTAGGTCTCAGCCAAGTTCCTGTGGATATTTGTCCACATCCCCAGAATACCACACACACTTGGCAAGAATGGAAGATTACAGCCAAGCACGACCCAGATCTTGAATAGCAAGAGTATTTCGAGTAAAGAACAACATACAGTGGCAAAGCTCTCATTCTTAGGTATGTCCTTTATCTCCATAACGTTCAGTAATGTTGTTCTTTTCTCTTTGTTTCTTCTGCCTTTCCCCATCCTGTATTCCAAACTCTACAAAATTGCAAGAATGACTTTCATTTTAAGTTATATTTAAAATAGGATAAAAATTACAATAAAATAGTTCAACTATTCTTTGCATTTTTTTTCTATTTTTCTGTATTTTTCAAATTTTCTCTAAAGTGACAATATGTGTTAGTTATAGAATGAATAAATAAATCTCCTTACAAACAATTTAGATTACTAAGTTACTGACAGCTAGAATTTTGAAATTCTCTCTCAAAAGTCATTCCAAGTTGCATTCTTCCTGGTGTTTTATAGCCATTATATTGCTATTTGTTTTCCTTACAAGTGAACTTGAATGGGATGCTTAAATTTGCTGTCGGTAGGGTTCTTTTGGAAAAACAAAAAGGTGTATTATTGGAACTGGTGAATACTACTTTAGCATATTGGTGCAAACGGAGACTGGATATGGCAGCTATCTGAGAAACATATTATCCTAAGATGTTTAAATAAAGCTTACTAAAAGTGATTAGGGCCACTAGATCTCCCTATTGACTCGGATTAATGCCATAAATCAGAAATAAAATGGGCTTTATATATGAATGTTCACATTAAATTGATTGGCAAGATAGAATTTAAGACCAAATTCATTAAGAATTTCAGTCTTGAAAGACATGCTTTCTAACTCAATGCTATTAAAGCTTTGATTGATAAATTCTTTTTTAAAATTTACCACACTCTAAACACCTATTGTCAAACTTGCTTACTTGTTTTCAAGATGAGTTGAATTAAAGCCTTAAAATACCACTTAGCATGCAATAATGTTTACCCTATTTGCAGACCTTCTAGAGATACATGATAGTAGTCATACTGTAACTCTTGTACAGTCAGAGAACGATGACAAGGAATCCCTCGCGCTCTTCTTTTCCAACTTAGACCTGGCAGAATGGCTCCCACAAAGAAGGGTGGAGAGAATAAAAAGGGCCTTTCTCCCATCAACAAGGTGGTGACCCGAGAATACACCATCAACATTCACAAGTGCATCCATGGAGTGGGCTTCAAGAAGAGTGGTCCTCGGGCACTCAAAGCGATTCAGAAATTTGCCACGAAAGAGATGGGAACTCCAGATGTGTGCATTGATACCAGGCTCAACACAGCTGTCTGGGCCAAAGAAAGAAAGAAAGTCCCCAATCGAATCTGTGTGTGGTTGTCCAGAAAAGGTAATGAGGATGAAGATTCACCACATAAGCTCTATACTTTTGTTACTTGTATACTTGTTAACCACTTTCAAAGATCTACAGACAGTCCATGTGGATGAGAACTAATCGCTGATCGTCAAATACCTCAAAGTTATAAAATTGAAAAAAAATGACAAGAAGGAATACATAAAGCATTTTTAAAGAATTCTTTAAATTTGACGACAATAGTCTAAAGACTCAAAGTGAAATTTACCAGGTTAAAGGCTTGGATCATTTTCCTATAAAAAATCCCTACCACTTCTTTTGATGCAAGTTGAATTGCGAGTCACAGGAGACCTGTGCATCTCTGTCACTTTTTCGTATTCTACTTCCTACCAAGTAGAATCATAGTTTGTTTCTCACATACTGCAACCCACTCCCCCAAAATGTGACTCAAGGGAAAAGAGCATTCATCATATAAGGCAACATCTATAAAGCACATTGTGCTGTGCTAGACCCTAGGCTATGTGCTTTCAGGCCCTTACTGAGTCCTTATGGTGAAAGACTATCCATCTTTAGAGATAATCCAAAGAACCTTCAGAAGGATTATTTGCTAGATATATGTAAATACAAAAGTATTAAACCATAGAGTTGCAGAGAAAATCTTCTAACTACTGTAGCTGCAGCCATAGTGTGTCTAATCTATCATCATCAATATTCTGGCCCCAGGAGATATCAAACAGTTATTATCACCTTACCTAGGCTAGAGATAAAAGTCTGATCAAAAGCCTTCATATTGAAAGTCCTTTCTTTATTCCTTGATTGGCCTTTTGTTCTTCGAGTAGGAGAGGAAGTGCTTATGAGTTTAATTCACAGAAGAAAAAAAAACACTTACTTTGAAATTTACTGGCAACTCTTCAGTATGTATGCTGATGTCCTAGAGGATTTGTTGGTAACTTGAAACACTGGGTAACAAAACTACTATTTCCCTTCTTCTCTTTATTTTTCCTTTCCCATCTTCTTTTATTTATTTCCCTCTCTTTTTCTTCTCCACTCCGCCTCTGTATGAGTGTGTGCATGTGTGCGCCTGTGGATATCCATTTGAGTTTATGGAATTGACTATACAGGTATTTTAGTCTAATACAAGCATGAAATCAGAGGGGCAAATTGTAAAGAAGGAAACATGTAGGCCTGGTGCCATCACCTGATCTCATAGTACGTCATATTACCTACTCTCTCCTCCCAGTGCTGCACCTGCCCGATGAGCAATGCCTTTGTCATGCTTCCTTGGCTGACCTTTTTCCAACCTATTGTTCATTTGACAATTTGTTACTTAATTCACACTGTGTACCAGTCTTGCGCTGGATGGACATTTTTCAGAAACTATTCGATGCCCCGCATTCTTGATTCTCTAGGTATGCTGAACCACACACACTCATCAAGCTTTTTGAAGAAGGGGAAAGTTTGGTGGTCAAGTAAGTTTAGAATTAAATCTAGGAGCTGAACCCAATCTGATTCCTGGTTCAAAACAAAACAGAAACAGCTATCAAAGACATTCTTGTCACAATTCAGGAAATTTCAATATAAACTGGGTATTATATTAGGAATTATTATTAGGTTTTTATGTTATTGTAATATAGTTACAAAGAAAAATGGCCTTATTCTTAGGAGATATATGCCATGTTTAAGGGGGAAGTATTTCAAGTGTCATGATGCCTGAAACTTGTTTTCAAATGGTTTCAATAATCATACATTTATCCATAATATTTAAAACTAATATACATATATAAAAATATACAGTTCTGTAAAAAATGCTTATATTTATATATATACACACTTGTTACATACTATATGTTCACATAGTAAAAATACATGTTTATTATCATTTATTGCTATAAAACAAGTACATATGCTTATTATTTATAAATCAATATGTATATTATATTGTTACATATGTGAATATACCTACTGCATATGCTTATATATTATATATGAATATATTATATATGTATATATTATATATAATAAACATGAATATATAAATAAATAATATATAACGTAGTAATTTTTACTGAATTTAGATTATATTATATATAAATATATTAATAAATACATAATATAAACACAAACCATTGCTGTGAAGATTAAGTAAACATATTTTTATTTCCTGAAATATGTTTACATATTTTGACTAACCTTGGGCACATAGCATTTTGGAGTACTGGGAAATTAATTTGGATAGCATGAGGAAGAGAATGAAGTTAATTAATGAAAAATTCTGTTCACAGGTAATTAAGAGTTGACTTTCAAGGACAGAAAATGTCCTTATGCACTAGACTTTCTGAAGCAGGAAAGACCAATTTGTGAGGGGGGAAGAGGGGGATGCTGCTCCTAGACCAATTTGGGGACTTCTAGACCTCTGCAGGAAGTACCTCACTCCTCACCGCACCCCTTAAACTACTGCTTACAAGGATTGCACTGCTAATTGCAGAGTGGTAAGGGTTGGGATACATGATGAAAAGGTTTGTTTTTGGAAAGAAACTTCCCTATTTCACTTAGATTATTGTGAAAGATGTTTCTGATGCAGGCAAATGAGCCGGGCAAAGACTCTGCATATCTAGTATAAAAAGCAAAATTCAAATATTAGCCGATTACCCTAAAGAAATAAACACCCATAACAGTGACTCTATAATGTGACTACGATGAGTGGGGTGTTACTGTTTTATTTTACCTCTTCTTTGTCCTTGTGAGAAAGAGATGAAGATCATATCTCCTCTTGGAAAAGTAATGGCTCAGAGGTAGTTCCTTTTTGGTCTTAGACATATTACATGACTTTAGTTAACTACCTTTGTTTCTCCATTTAAGAGATGGAGATAACAATACAAATTTAGCTCAAGGTATCTTTATGAACTATACATTACTAATTATAAATTATAAACTACTTTGTAAAGCAAGCTGCTATATAAATGCTCAATAACAGTCTTTTGCAACACATGGCACCGCCTAACGGGAGCTTATTAAGAAGTTCCTGTTTAACTTGGATTAATTCTTTTAAATATTTTTTCCTCTTAAATGAACCCAAAACTATGACTGAGAAAATACTCATAGAATATTTTTATAATTCAAGAAACACAAAATCCAATGAATGTACCCTATTCTTTCTTTTGATATCTGCTTTTTCTAAAACAGAACTGAAATTAACTTCAAAAGGTGTCCTGCAGTCTGAGGAGACACAAGGTGATTGGAGGCCTGAGCACGGGATCTCCTTGTAATCACTTAGAACCAGAGAAAGCAGGTTAATTTAATGAGATGGAAAAGCGGCACCTTACTGAGATAGCACAGAGAAAGGTGCCCAGACATTAGTATAAACATGGATATAAATTTTCTATTCACATAGTAGGTAGGTATCAGAAATTATATTAAGTGTCCTTTGTAAGTTATACGTTTTAATCCTTACATCTGTCTTTTGAGGAAGACACTATATTTCCCAAATTATAGATGAGAAAACTGAGACTCTGAGTAGTCAAGCAATTTAGTCAAGTTCACGTGGTTGCTACATGACAAAGCTAGGATTTGATTACAGGTATTTCTCTGCACAGAACTTCTGTGGATGAGAACATGAATTAAAAGCTAAGCCACATAAATTAAAAACTAAACCACAGAATGTAAAAACTAAAGACTTCGTATGGGCATCTTCCATAACAGAATGCTTTACATTCTTATTATCCCAGAAAGTCTCTTGTGAGATCACAATAACTATTTCTTGTTGAATATGATGACAAAGCATTTTGCCAACTTAGCTTAGCAGAAAACCCATTATGTTACTTATCTAAATGTTTGCATTTCTTTCTTCAAAGTAAACATTTCTTGTGACTGTTAAACATCAATTAAGCTTTATACTGACCATATACTATAATATTTTGCATTATACAATAATGGGCATTTTATGAAAAAGAGCAAAGAGAGGGCACAGTATTTGCTCTCTACAGATGTCCACAATCTGAAAGATGTGTCAGACAAGGTTTAAAATGTCAAGCTCTGTGTCTAAGAGACAATGTCAGTTAACTACCTGAGTAAACATATTTTACCCAGGATGTAACTAAAACACCATTCAAAAAAATGTCCCCATTTGCTTGCAGATATTGAATTAATGCATATAAATGAGAGAAAAGATAGAATTTCTTTATTTCCATTTTCTTGCCTCCATTCCAAGATGCCTCACCAAACTGGAAAAGAGAGAACAGAATAGAATTAAAATCTGAGTTATAACAAAGAAAGCATCAAACCTCATAAAGTAAGTTTAATTTTGTGAACCCAGAAGAATCACACCCAATACAGGGAGCTTTCAGAAACACGATAAATTTAGAGAAGTGCAGAAGACTGATGATGGGCAGTTGACACACTTTTTTTAAATGGTGCATTACTAACACTGCAAACTAATAAATTTGCTCAATTCCCAGGAACAATTCTAAAACAGTGAATTAAATTGGTAGTTTCACTAAAACTACATCATGCAAGACATCATTTTCTTCTTCTTCTTCATTATTTGTTACGATCAGTAAATCAGTAAATTAAGGAAATGTCATATAGTGAATTTTGATTTCAACAATAATGAACAAAGTCTAACATTGTTTCTCTGGAATGGAGAAGATATAACATGACAGAAGAACCAGCATATGTGTTCTCATGAGCCCATGTTCATAATATCTGGACAGAAGCACAGGTTTGAGAGCAACAGGGAAGTTGGTATGCCCTGCACGGGAACCAGTCCTGCCCCATCTCAGACACTTAGAAAAGACATCCTTTGAGGCACTTCACTGCCATTTGCAGAAAAATAGAGTAAGTATAGAGATTTTAAATGACCATGATGTGAAAGATGCTCTGGAATTATGCAAAGCCTATTGTACACAACTGCAAGCATTAGCTATTGTGTGATGCTTCAACCTGAAAATGTTGTAGACCGAATGCCAGATAATGTGTATTTATCTCACTCTTTCAATCTATTTACTGAGTAAGAACATTTATTTGGGCCAGGCGTGGCGGCTCACACCTGTAATCCCAGCACTTTGGGAAGCTGAGGCAGGTGGATCACCTGAGGTCAGGAGATCGAGACCAGCCTGGCCAACATGGTGAAACCCTG